AAGGAAATAGATGAAAGTGTTCGTGTTGTTCATCCAGCTCAAGGCAAGCACGATGCTGGCGTGGAAGGCGGACAGGCCGCGGTTGGCCTGAACCATCGCTGAAATCAGGATTGCAAAGGCCGTGACGAGAATCGTCGTGGATTGGGTTTCGACACACTCCGGTTCGTAGTCCGACACTTCGCCGTCCCAGAGGGCCCAAATAGCAGGGATGAAGCTAAGGAGGTTTTGGGCGTAGATTGCAGCACGGACACCGACACCAGAGATGTCGGGATCGGCCGGAATTAAGCATGAGAGCGTGCCACTCATCGCAGTGTGGTGGTGGGAGGGAGGAACAAAGGAAGAACAAAGAGCGTGATCTGGCGTGATCGGTGATTCATCCCCCTCCAGTCGTTCTGGATCTCAGCGCAATCCAAAGCACGGATGGTCCGACCAAAATTACCGTTCACGGTCCCGTGGGCGGGTGGGGAAGGATGCAATGCGAGTAAAGCTTACCTATGGTGCCATTCTATCCGGCCGCAGTATTGGCTCCGCCCTCTCATCGCTCCGGATTTCACCCCGCTACGCCTACTTCCACCTCCGCATCCTTGTAAGTTGTATCTTTCCATTGCATCGTTAAAAGGAACTTCCGTCCCCCCTACCCGCTTCTGAGCCATTATTGCTCCGGGAGATGCCAGACGTGCATCGCAGAAGAGCCACTTCGACAATATATACTACGTGGTCTCTTGTGTGCCTCCATCTCTCTAAACTCTACCCATCTCTTTACCCCTCACTCTTCAACTTCAACTTCAGGCCCACTTTCCTTAGGATATCCCCGGTGGCCTTGAAGCAGCGGTTCAGACAGCCCCATGTGCGACAAGTAAGCCAATGAGTTCGCTGCGGCATGGGTCGCCCTCTGCAACCATGTCTAATATCGATCCACAGCAGTCGGCTGCGCCAAAATGTAAGTGCCAAGTGCATAGAATGGCCGTGAACAAGGGGAGAAACATACCGTCTACATTCGGGTCCGCTCCGCGACTGAGAAGGAGTTTCACCAGTTCTTTGTCGGTGCCGCGGAATTGGTCATATTGACCATCAAAGCTCAGCCTCATGCCCCGAAACGCTGCACGAAGTGCGGATTGGTACGTTCCTGCAAAGACCCAGATACCTGAGATGTCGCACAAAAGATCTGAAAGAATCTTGAACTGTGATGATCACCTTGCATGTTGATGTCAGCCCCGCCCGCAAGCAGAAGCTCGACGACTTCGGCACTGTGCCAGGATGCGGCTGCTTGAAGTGCGTTGCCGTAACTGCCCCCTAATGTTTAAACAGCTTTGGGTACGTACAGTTAAGACCGTGCTGTAATGTTACCTTGGAGGTTGACGTTTGCGCCGCGTTCCAGAAGAAGTTTGACAATCTCCGCCTTTTCCAATATCTTTTCTGACGAGGCTGCTGCCTGTAGTGCGGTGCCATGTCGGCCACCTACCGTTAAAACGGTTGAGAGGCTGCACCGTCTGAACTATCCCGTTTACCTTGAACGTTGACATCTGCGCCGTGTTCGAGAAGGAGCTTGACCGTGGCGAGGTTTCCCCGGCACGACGCTACCTGTAGTGCGTTGCCATATGTACCACCTACGTGCTGAGAAAGACGGCGCCAACGTCCGGACTATGCTGGTTACCTTGAACATCAATCCTGGCGCCACGATTGAGAAGGATCTCCACAATTGCGGCGTTGCCCGATGCCGAAGCCGCATATAGTACAGTAGTGCCCGCATCGCCACCTGCCGTCGAGGTGCTCAGATGCAGCAGGATTCGCACATCAGAATATTTACCGCGAATATCGATGTCTGCGCCACGTTCGAGCAGCAGTTCAAAGATAGCAAGATCACCTTTGTCCGCCGCCGCATATAGTGCAGTTCCAAATTCACCACCTACATGACAAACACTTAGAAGCAGGAAAACGAGCTGGGACGTTTACCTTGTATGTTGACCATTGAGCCGCGTTCGAGGAGGAGCTCAACGATGGCAAGATTACCGCTGAGCGACGCTGCCTGTAGGGCAGTGCCAAATCTACCACCTGCATGGCGAAAAACTTAGACGCCACAAATAAATGCTGTTCTTCTTACATTGTATATTGGCATCAGCACCGCATTTCAGAAGAAGTTCAACGCTAGCAAAGGCGCCCATGTAAGACGCTGCTTGTAACACAGTGCCGAATTGGCCGCCTATGATGAAACGGTAAAAGATACATGCGACGAAAGCAAGTTGAGATGTCTACCTCGTATGTTGACGTCTGCGCCTCCTTTGAGTAGCACTTCGACAATAGCGAAACCACCCATAACCGCCCCGACCTGTAATGCAGTGCCGTATGTCCCGCCTACAGCTGGGAGCTTAGATGGCGCCAAACCTGAGCTGTCATACTTGCCTTGTCGGTTGACATCAGCTCCACGTGCAAGAAGAAGTTCGACGGTGGTGGTCTCTTTAGAGAGTGCGGCTGCCTGTAGAGGGGTAAAATAGCTTTTACCGTAGTGAAGTATCTCGCCTTGAGAATTCAAGATTAGATTGATTCCTTACAGATCGAGAGAGCTCCTTACCCGGGGCATTCGGAGCCGCGCCACGATGAAGCAGCGCCGCCACAATTTTCGTGTGTCCTTTGCGGCATGCTATAAGCAATGCCGTGCCAGTGCCGCGATGGTCGACGGTACTGGCTTCTGCACCGTACGCCAGTAATGCTTCAACGGACTCAAGATCGCCGCGGGAAGCTGCCAGAACAAGTGCCGTGGGCAATCTACAATCTAAGATATGTTGAGGATTATGTATGTGCCTTGAATTTGAGTCCGCACCGTACGCCAGTAATGCTTCAACGGACTCAAGATCGCCGCGGGAAGTTGCCAGAACAAGTGCCGTGGGCAATCTACACTCTAAGAGTCGTTGAGGATTATGTATGTACCACTAGGTAATAAGCAGCTAAGCCGCAGCTTCTGAGGATCCAGAGTCGACTCCAGAGCGACTTGGGCGCGGCGAGCGATCGGATTCCATGGCCACGCAAGGAGCGGGAGACAAGACGCGAGGGGACACATTTACCCTTGCTTTGAGGGCTCAGAAGGACTCCCAATTGACTGAAGAATCGAAGACTGAGCGAAGACCGACGTGGCGGGAGGAGAACTGTGACGGTCACCGGATCAGTCACTGATCCAAACATCACAGCCGACGGCAACCCCCGATGTTCTGATGGCGTGGTTCAATTCAACTTGCTCTTGGACGCTGTCAACTGGAGTTCGCCAGAATTGTGAGTATGGAGCCATACGGGCAAACTAGAATCAACCTCTCTAGCCGCCCGCGAGGAGACACAAAAACCTCCGGAGACAATTCTCGAGCCCCACACTTCTCAGAATTCCCAAAGAATTCCTCGATATAGGACCAATGAGAAGGAAAAGATCGCCACTAATTCCCTAGGGCTTGGTAGATAGATCTCCCTCATTGTTCGATGTTCGAGTTTCATCACTGCTCAAACTTGATTCAGAGGTGTTTTACCGCCTTGAAGCTTCAGCGTAACACTAATTCAACGTCGGAAAGGTGAACCTACCTCGTCTCGAAATCACCAGTAGAGGGGGAAAAAAGAGCTCGTCGCTTGCACACAACCCCTCGCGGGGAGTCGAACCCCGATACGCTAATCGGAACGCTCACCAGTGATCATCGAAGGCTTGGTGAAGTGTGTTTGTGTGATGTCTTCGTTCCCTCCGCGGTTTGCTTGCCAGAACTAGTGCTTCAAGCGCGAAAGGTGCACTAGATTTGTCACATTTGTGGTCCCATAGCCGAACTGGCGTAGATGTAATCGGATGCAGTTAATGGCGACCGGGCTGCACCTGTGCGAAACAGTTTAACAAAACCTGGAAGAAGGAAGGAACAAGTAAATAAAACAATCTTGTTGTCCCCCCACACCCTCGCGGGCCCACACATCCCATAATTTTTCGCAAGAAACCGGCGCAATTGCAAGCCGCAATCACTGCCTATCATCGAGGGCTTGATAGCGTAGATTCAACCGGTGGTTGTTACCATTCTTTCGGCACTCTGACTCGGTGTGTCAATATATTTCCAGAGCCCGGAATGTCAAGATATTCCGAGCCTGCGTCCAGAAAGTGCATCCACCTTGCTTGGATGTAGAGAGGCGGGTTCGAAAAGAAAACTCTAATCATGGAACCTTCAGCCCTCGCGGGGAGTCGACCCCCACACTTCCCATAATTGCCGAGGCCACATATTTTGATTAGAAGGAAGGATCCCCAGTGATCATCGAGGGCTTGAAGTTCTCCCGGGCTTTCAGCCATACCTTGATGCCTGAGAACTTCCAACGCTTCGTCCCTCGCAAACCATGCACTGAACTCGTATTTCCTAGAGCGGAATTGGATGTAGTTGAGTCCCCCTGCTGCAGAAAACAAATCCAGGGGAATGAAAAGCAAAGAAAAATGGACATTGCATTGTAGCTTTCATCTCAGGCCCATGGTCGAACTCCAACACTTCCACAACACTAAGTAATTCGATTGGAAGGGAACAGTCGCTGGTGATTATCGAGGGCTTTCTGGGGTGGGTTCACCATCCTTGTGATGCTTGAGTTATTGCAACGCGTCGCTGGCTGTTCCGAACCCGAACCACCAGCTGGACTCGGATTGAGCACGCGTTTTGTAGTATTTTACATCTGGACTCAGAGTGATGGGGCCGAGACCAAGGGGAACGGGAACAAAAAGTGGCTTGGACGTTGTCTATGCATGCATGGCGGGGAGTTGGCGGGGAGTCGAACCCCGTAGCTCTGATCATCATCGCAGCAAGACGATAATCGTTGGTCCCCGAAGGCTTGGCGGGGTACATTTTGTACTTAGTTTTTCGTGTCCGTGTTCCAGAGCCTGCGCTAGAAAAATCAGAAGCCAAGGCACGAGTATCTTGGCCAGCGAATAGCATAAATCAAAATCAGACGCACCTCCATCCAAACGCCCACCGCAAGAACAAAAAGCCCGGGAACTTGGTATACCACGCCCTCGCGGGGAGTCGAACCCCGACACTTCCCATGGCTTCTACATTTCGAATTGTACCGCGAACTGGAAGGGAATGATCACCGCTGATCAACGAAGGCTGGGGAGAGTAAGTTCCGCCCATGTTGTATGCGTTCCAAGATGCGTTCGCTGACACGAATTTGAGGAGCATCAGTCGGTTTGAATATTGCGGATGACGAGTGTGCAGAGGATGGGTGTGAACGGTCCATTTTCGCATCACCTATGGTGGGCATAAATGGTCCTGTAAATGTTACGCATACGCGTGTACGGGATGCGGCGACGGGATCCGGGGGCGCACGGGAGCGGGACACGTGTGGCGGTGGTTATGCGGGGCAAGGCGAAAGAGGTGAGTGGAAGATGCACAGGGCGGTACAAATTACAATTGCAGACTGCTCCTGGGGCGTGCGGCAAGATGACGCCATGGATGGGGCGGGAAATGCGGTAAGAGGTAGATGTGGGGTCCGCCAACTTGAACGCTGCGGCAGATGGCTTGCGGGATCGGATACACTTGAAGCCTCTTTTGTGTGCGCGGTACACGCACATTGAAGGCGTCCTACGGCGCGCGCTCGGGCAACGGCATCCGGGAGAGGCAATTGCCAGGAGGAAGATGAGATGCAGAAAGAAAAAAGTTTTCGCCCCCGCAATCAATCTCGAAATTCGAACCCCGACGTCGCGCCGATGCTCAAGCCGCCGACGTCACCGGCCGAAACGTTCATTGCTTCAACTTGCTTGCGTTTCCTGGCAGCCAGCCCAGTCCCCAGCCACGAAAAACAAATCCGCATTGGCCGGAGCTATGCCTCGGGCTCGATTCGAACGAGCAACACCTGCGGAGAAGGATTCGCACCCATGGATTGCAGGTGCGGTCCATCCGCCGCCGAAGCTCATGTTGTTTCTCGGGATCGGGAGATACCGTGTCTAGTCCGTGAAATGAACGGAGCAGAGGGAGGTTGAACCATATACCCATACTTTGCGACCGTTTTCCCTCGAGGTATCGGCCGTTTCAACTGCATCTTCCAAATCAGTGCACGGAATAATACATCTACTTGCCAAACGCTCGCCCGAACACCCATTCGTTTATTATACTGACCAAAAAGCACACCAAGGTTGGAAACCCTCCGCCCCTGTTAAGATTAATATTGCAGGGATAGATTGCAGGGAATAACAAAAGGGTTTGAAGGGACTGACCGTGACTCCGGCCCCCGAGTCGAACGGGTGTAGACCGCAATATATATATCTCGTGTTTTCCTCCATTATCTGCAGCTGCGGACCAACCGCTACGGAGTCATGTACGCGGAATACTTGAGTGAGAAAGTTGAGACAGATGCGTTGCATCCGGCAGGTCCGATTCGTAGTCGGCAGAATGCATTCGGTGTCAGAAGCAGTGCGTGTGAGAGTGCACCAAGAGCCGCAAAGGATAAAGGAAGTGTATCTCAGAATTGCTTGATGTCTCCAGCCCGAGTCCGATGAAGAACAAAAGGTTTGACATGATACCCACCATGACTCCAGCCCGAGTCGAACGGGCGTAAGCTGCAATACATGAATCATATTGCCATCCATTACCTGCAGCTGGGAATACTGAACAAAAGGTGAGTGAGAAGGTTGAAAATGCGAGAACAGGGATTACGATGGTCGATTTGCTGTTTAACGTATCCAGTGTCAAAGACAGAGATCGAGCATGAATATCCGACCGTGAGATACTCACGTGGAACGTGATAGATAGCACCAAGAGCTACGTCAAACGAACAAAAAACGACATTGAAGCGCGATGACCCCATCCCGAGTCGAACGAGCGCCGCAGTCGGTTATTTGACGATAGCCAAGGGGTTGCAGAGGTAGCTTGTAACGGACAACGGTGGGCCGTTGGCCAGACTCGGAGTCTCGAAGAATATAATCTTGCCCGCCTTCGAGGAATCGTCGGTATCAGCATGCCGAACCGGAGATGGGCATGAATGTGAGTAAGAGATCGTACCGAGAGCTATAATAAAGGACAAACGAATAAAGCGAGTGTCGATGGCCCCAGCCCGAGTCGAACGGGGGCCGCACTGGTTATTGGACGACGACCAAGGGGTTGCAGAGGAGTTCTGTAATGGACAACGATGGGCCGTTGGTCAGACTTGGAGTCTCGAAGAATATAATCCTGCCTGCCTCTTGAATCGTCGATACTCGGAATTTAAACTTGAGAGCTACGATGGACGCTTCATTTGGTACGCGTGCGAAAACCCTGGTGCCGGGCTTGGGATCCAGTGCTGGCACAAGTGCTAGTTGGGGAAAACGCCGCGCGCCAAAAAAAAGAAAAGTGTTACGAGACCAATGGCCTGAATCCGAGTCGAACGGGCACCCGCGGGATTTCGCAACTGACAACATCCGGAGCAGTGTGGTTGAGTCGTTATTGAGCCCTGAGTACTGCGGCGTAGTTTTCGCAGGATTACCGCCGAATAGCCGCAGCCCGGGGCAAACGGGGTGCTCTCTGCGAGAACTTTTGACGGCCTGGAATATTAATGCGGAGGATGATGATTGTCCGCCATGCGGTCGTGCGTTCGAAGAAGCTGCCATGGGGATATGCATGAGTTGAAAAAGATTGGATTGGGGGTACGATAGAAAGACTTCACCGCCCATTTGTGCAGCTGAACATCTCTACGAGCAAGAAAATGACGGAAATTTCGCCAATGCATGAACCAGGCCCGAGTCGAACGGGTGTACATGTTATCCGCAGTATTAATCGTGCGTTTCCCGTTTGCGTATCAATTGTCGATTCGTAGCTGCGGATCTAGTTCCGCGAAGGGGTGGCACTCGATATAAGCCCGGTGGAAAAAGAGTTGGTCGCCAGGCAATTCGTGCACGGCTACCGACGAAGAGATACAAGAGGGTCAAAGTGACCTCTAGGGAGATGCCAGAACATAAAGTATTTGAACGAAGATCGAGGCCATTCGAATCTTGGGACGAAAAGCAGTGGAGCCCAAATGGCGGGAAAAGATGAGAAACCGATCTTCAATCATTTAAATTTGTGGGCGGAGCTGCAGAGTGCTACTCGGTTTCAAATGCAGAGTTATCGAAGGCCAGGGCAAAGAAAGCAGTCGACGAGAATCACGGCTGGCGAGATGGGCGTTAGAAGCAAGGAAGATCGGAAGAAGCCGCGTCACCATCAGTGTCACCTGCATCGCCACCGTCACTGCCTCTCTTTCTTTCCACCACCACGACGATCCCACTACCGCAGACTCGAATTAACCGCAGACGCTAAGCATCCCCAAGGCATGGATTCTCTCTCATCACGCAACTCGCCGAACAGTCACATCAGCAAACCCTGATTTCCCTGGTAGCACTCTGGAGCACTCTGGGAGTGCTACAGGGCGCTACAGAGCAAAAGCCCCTTACTATGGCTGTACAGGCACTATGGGACACTATGGGACGCTCTGTAGCGCTCTGTAGCGCTCCATGAGCTGCCGTAGCGGGGAAAAATCGGGTGGCACAAGCCACTGAAGGATAGCCAAGCCGAGAGGGCGAATGGGGCCTGAACCCCGTCATCGTACCTCTGCCCGCTGTGTTATTTCCTCAGCGCAAGGCACACACACTCGTCCTTGTGCCTCTGTCCTCTTTTCTCTTCCTTGCTACTCGTCGGTCTTCCTGTCGTCCACCTCAAGCCGCGGATAAATGAGGATGGCAATATATATAATCAATGATTTCCCTCGTACTGCGCGCCGGGTGTACCCGACCCTCCCCTTGCCTGCGCGCAGCTCAAGCACCACTTCAACAAGTGCTAGGGGAAGGTGCAGGCCGGGGAAGCTTCAAGGGCAAAGTGCATTGATGATATGTGTATGTCTTTGTCTTTCTTTGTCTTGCAGAGGTATTCCCTTCCGTCTCTCGATCGTTCTCTCAGTCATAATCCCTGATTCGAATTTTCTGTCCCACTCTATGACCTTCCCCGCAATTCGCACGTACCATCCACATGCCGCACCGATCCCTTCCTTCCCTTCCCATCCCATCCCTCTACCCTTCACCTCTCTCTCTACCTCTCGCTCGCATACGACTTACTTCGTCCCTTAGCCGCACCACACTGACGTCGACCCATATTCCACACGATGCACAAGGCCTCCAAGGGCGATGAGTGCGTCAAGATCTTGTCAATATCCCATGATCGAATGCAGGTGCAGTCCATCCGCCGCCGAACTTTTCTTTACCACTTCCTTTTTCGTCCTCCCCTGTATCGTTACCTTGTCCCGATCCTCATTCCCAACTCACATCCACATCCAATTCCGCCATTTTTTGTACTGCACAGTGTTCCGGCGACGACTTGCGGTGGATCACGGATCCCTGCTTCTCTAAGAGCTCGAATCTTGCCTAGAAAACCTGGTGGCTTACTGTCTGATGTCCGTTGAGGAGAAGGCAGGCTTTCGATTCGCCTTGCCGTAACTAACTCATCTCTTCCGCACCTGCTTCGCCCTCTGGGAAAGCCCTGTTTCCTGATTTTGGTTCTGCAACTCGGCGTATACATCCCGTACATCCAAGAACCGAATAGCTTTCACAGATGCTAGCGGCTCGCAGCTTGCTCGCCTTATGGTCCAGCGAAAAGTCCCCCTCCTGACCGCACGATCCGCAATCAGGGAGAAGATCAGAAAGGATGTCGCGTTCGGTGAGAATGAGTCGGTATGAAGTTTGAACATGTTTGTAGCCAAATAAAAATATAAACTGATACATATCGAAGTACCGCGGTGGTTTTCGCCGACAGACATCGTTCGACCAAGTCCGAAACAGCGTGATTATATTGCCCCATGCGCGCGGAGCAGCTCGGCGAGTGGAGCATCCTCTGCTATGTCCACTATGGGCCCATACTTGTCGGCTTCGATGTCGTCAATTATCGGGGAAGGGGTGTAAAGTGGGGCTGAAATTTTACCTCCAAATTGGGGTCTTCTCCGTGGCTGAGAAACGGCGTGTTAGACTGCCCCGTGTGCGAGAAGCAGGTCAATAAGCTCGGTGCGGCAAGGGTCGCCGTCTGCAACCATTTCCAATATGGACCCAAGGTAGTCGGCTGTGGCAAGACCTCAATAATAATTGAGCAGGTAGGTTAGAAAAGGGCATACCATCC